CTGGGATCAATTTCCATTGTCCCAAACGTCTACTCCGGCTAAACAGAAGGTGCCATCAATCACTTAAAGCCTCCAGAAAGAAAAAAAAAATGGCTGCCATCTCCTGCAGCCTCGTCCTATTTCTGTTCTGCTGCTGAAGTTTGCAATCTTTTTATTTGTTGTTGTTTTTGTTTTGTTTTTTTGGGCTATGTGCAGTCTCTCACGTCTGCACAGAGGGTAGAAGTGAAGATTGAATCAAATTTTAATGACTTTGTAGACGGAGTTGAATGACTGTGTCAGCAGCACGGCATCATTAACAGGGTAGAGAAGTTTCAAACGAGGGCCGTCCTGACGTAGAAAAGACCACGTATTCAGCCTGGAGACGTTTGGCTCCATAGTTTGTACGACAAAAAGATTTTTGGAACTGCAGAGTCAGATTGAAATCCCCTTTAGAGACAACATACAGGAGGCGCTGTGTCTTTATTATTTGACTCTGTGGTTTTTATGGTCCATTTCTAGCTTATAAAAATAACAAATGTAAATGATAAAAGTGACTCCTTCAGCTGTACGGATGACAAATGTTCCTCCCTTTCATACAAAGGAGTGCACGTGAACAGCTTCACCCTGCAGTGGAGCTTATTTATGGGACAGCTGTCAGGTTAATGTGTGGTCATCACTTTTAGCTGCTGCTTTTAGCTGGAGTCGGAACAACACTGCAGCACTAACAGAACAGAAGACGCTGTTCCAAGAAAATAAATCCTGTGGGTTTTTTGGACACAAACACGACATGTTTGACTTTTACATATTGGACTTTTAACCAAAAAACTGACCACATCAAAAATATAGAAACAAATTATTTAAAAAAAATCTGTCTTTCAGAATTTTTTTTTTATTTCCACAACTGTATTAATTGGTGTGGTAACAAGATATTCTGTTGTACTACAGTAGTATTCTGTTATACTACAGTAGTATTCTGATGTACCACAGTAGTATTCTGATGTACCACAGTAGTATTCTGATGTACCACAGTAGTATTCTGATGTACCACAGTAGTATTCTGATGTACCACAGTAGTATTCTGATGTACCACAGTAGTATTCTGATGTACCACAGTAGTATTCTGATATACCACAGTAGTATTTTGATGTACCACAGTAGTATTATGTATTGTGTACTCTGCAGTACCCAGGTGTGGGCTGTTACCTACTGCAGCAGTAACCCTGACGTTATCACTCACTCTCACTCACACACTCTCACACTCTCTCACACACACACAGATGTAGAGCCTGCTCTCACACCAACGGCTGCTTTTAGCCGTGCTGCTAATGAAGGTATTTCTGTCTGTAACCCACTGCTCTGACGGCGGCTCCACAGCACCACATGTGGCGACATCACGTCACGTCCCATCGCCATCACGTCCCATTACAGTGAACGTTGGACGAGTTAACTGAATGTGGTGTGAATGAAGTTCTCATTGTTGTGTAATTGAAGTCGTTCCCAGAGAAGATTCTCATTTCCTTTATTGCCCCCTTGTGTTGGCCCAGCTTTGATTGTTACTGCCCTCCTCTGTGCTTCTCCTGCAGACACACACCATCTTCTCCCTGCTGGGCCTGGACCACGCCTACGTCACCAGCATCGGACGCCTCATCGGTGTGGTTTCCCTCAAAGAAGTAAGATTTAAATATGAATTTTTTTTCTAGCCCAAATTCTCAAAACACACCTTTACAATTTTAACCATAAATTGAAATAAGGGCTGTCGTCTTCTAACAGGTGACAAAATGGAGGAACACATTTACAGTCAAGTGATTTAGAGTTTCTATCAACGTTATAAAAGCATTTCCTCGCAGCGTCTTTATTAAATGACGTTCATCAAGACACGAGGAGAATTCCAACAGGTGTCAGAGGACCCTGAACACATCGCTGGTGATTTATGTTTTTCCATCTTCGCCTTCGTGAAAACAGTCGTGACCGTTCGCTGTCATCGTTCATGAAAGCGGCGTTTTCACTGCTGTTGTTACTGTGAAATTACTGTCAGTATAATCAGGAGTGCTGTCAGCGTGCTGTCTCACTCACACACACACACACACACACACACACACACACACACACACCAAGTCCTCTTCCCTTGTTATGTGCTGTGACGGACAAAAGGCTGCGTAACACTGCTGTCTCCCCCCTCTCCTCTCCTCTCCTCCCCCTCTCCTCTCCTCTTCGTCCCCTGCTGCCTCTTCATCTCTCTCCAACAGCATCAAAAACAACTGAAAAACCTCTTGTTCACGTGGCGAGAGGATGTTGTTGCTAAGTGCTGAGCTCCGTCCCCGTGCCTGACATTTGGGTTATTGTTTTATATTGGCGTTCTATTGGCAGACACACACACAAAACACAACAAACAACCAACAATGTGGGAAAAGTTCAGCCTCTCCGTCCTTTCACAGAAGTGCTTCGTCACAGACTCTCGTATGAAGAGAGAAAAGGAACGGAGATGAGTCACATGATGGTCGTGACATCTAAGAGACAGGAGACAGTTTTCTGCCCACAGTATTTTGCTGTGTTATATGTAATTATATTCAAATTCCGACGTACGATTTGACTTACGTCACCCCTCAGCACCAAGACCCGCTGTAAGTCGAGGACCCCTGTACCCATAGTTAAGTCTTTTATCTAATTTAACAAGTGATTTATTCTCAAATGCACTCAAATATTATAAGTATTTTTAATGCTGATGTTAGGAAACTAGTCACATGACTTTACTGTAGTAATACAGTAATTATAATTAATACACTGACATTATATTAATATCTGCTCATACTGTAGTTCAGTTTGGACCAAGAATATCTGGAATATCTCCGACTTTTTTGCCAATATCCGATTTGTTGATATTGTCCAAACACTTAATTTCCGATTCCGATATCAACCGATAACGATATATGCAGTCGCGTGGGTTAAAGGCGGAGGACACGTTTTGTGGCGTGCAGTATCACAATGACAGTAATTCACTTTCATTTTCACAATATTTTTGGGTTACATCATCAAAACACAGACATCGCGTTATCATTATCGGAGGAAAAACCGAAACCGATTCTTACCGCTATAATGTAATTATGCTAATATCGGTAGATGTTATCGTTTGGCTGATATTATCGGACATCCCTAGTGGTTTGGAACGCTTGTCGCTCATGTGGGTTACGTGAACAGTTCTCCTAAAACTCTAACTTACTGTGTTCATACTTCCTGTGCTCACTTCACCAGAGTTCAGTTATTTTGGTCTGAGTCACTTTTTCATGTCACCGGAACATGAACCAACCAAGGCCGGTCTGACCCGCTCTGTGGTCAGCTCCACTTCATCTCCCCCTGCTGCGTGTAGGAGGCAGGAATGAATGTGAATTATTTCCATCTCCTCGTTCCTTTAGCAGCAGTGAAAGAAAAAGTCAGAGCTCTTTCAGAATAATCCCACCCACAGGCCATGACCGCCTGCCCCCCCCTCCTCGCCCC